CCGGGAGTCACTGTGCGCCGCAAAACAATTATTTTTCTTACTGCGCTGTTATTTCCATGACAGTTTCTTCCATTTTTCACAGAGATTAAGGGATGAAAGAGGGTCAGTTGGTGAGGAATTTAATTCTCCATCGAACTACTCTTTTTTCATCCCTTAATATCAATTAGGAGGGGAAAAGTGAATTTTTAATTCGCGAGCGAATGGTGCAAAGTCACTGTGCGCCGAGAAGAAAATTATTTTTCTCACTGGCCCATGACTTTGTCGTAGTTTGTATTTTTTTGTTACAGAGATTAAGGGATGCAACGGGGATCGATTGATGGGGAATTTAATTCTCCATCACACCCTCTGTGTTTCATTCCTTAATATTAATTAGCCAGCAAATGAATCACCTGAAAAACATTAAGAACATGTTGAGGACGAGGAGGACATAGGTTCCCCTCCGAAATTATCCCTGTGACAGCGTGACTGCTACTGCCGATTTGAAGTTCTCGCCACGAAAGAAGGAACCTCGCTGGGTACCCCCACTCTCCTGAATTCAGCTTTCAATCCCCCCCCCCCCCCCCCCNCACAGGCAGTTCGCCCAGCCGTCAGATTCGACCGTGGCGGCATCCCTCCGTTGGGGTCGAACTACTTTTGGCTTGGGGTCAGTCCTACCGCGAGATCTGAGCCTCTACTTTAGTCAATCCTCTTTGGATGATTGCTTGAAAATTGATTGTCTGTAAAGTAGTTATGATAGCCGTGGTAATCTTTAAATATATAATTTATCAATTCTTCTGTAAATTTTCCTCAAAAACAAGGCTTTATAAGTTGTATCGTCACTAGGCCGAAATACATTTTTCTGATGAATATGAGTTTATGAGCATGAGTTGTAGACGAGGGCAATTAAATGAGCTAGATTTTGTTTCGGCCAAGTGACGAAAAAATATTATTCGAAAAGTAATGAAAGTAATAAAAGTAATAACTTGCCAACAGTCCAAAATAGCGACTAAAATTCAAATTTTTTAAATTTGAAGAATCAAATCACGACTCAATATTCGATTACCTGGGACGAAATTGAATCTTTAATTTTCGATTAACATCCGTTAAAAAAAACCTTGATTACATATGTTTGCAGTAAAAAAGTCGATGTTTTATGAAATAACAAAAGATAGTTTATTTCCTCTGCGATGACTCATCCAAGAAATAATACATCTTGGATCTAATAATTTGAATAAAGAATGCAATAAACGAACTGAAAGGACATCCAATAATAATTTTTCCATCAGAGCTGATGAATTTAATGAGTTCATAACTTATAAAAAAAATTATCCAATCACACGAAGCTTGTACAAAAATGATCAATCAGACTGCAGGCTCAATGGCTCGTACATCTGCAGAGGTGAGTCGAAGAAATTCGGTGTGTCCCAGGACTCAGCAACAGGTTGTAAAAGTGTGGAGTCAGTGTCCTGGTGAGGATAGCATGGATGCCACCAGTCCAGAACCTTGCAGTCAACGACTCCACTCAATACGACGACTTGGGTCGGTGTTTTTGGAATGAAACTCGTGCCAAAGCTCAGTTGGAGTCTGTGGTGATCGAAGCCGGGAGATAAGTCGAGCTTGACGGTTTGGAGAATGAGTCCAATCACCAGAGGCACCATGCTGTATTTCAAGCAAGCTACCTGCAGTTGAATTAAAAACCCTTGAAGTTGGAAAGAGTTCATCCATCCAGAAACTATTATATTATCACATTATATGAACAAATGGGGATACCTCCTGGAATTTTTCCATTCTTTTATTTGATAACTCACGTCAAATTATGTCTGAAGTCCAACCGCACCGAGCTCAGTTCAGGGGTAACAGAAGGTTACCGTTTCCTCGAAAATTTCCAACAAATTTCCTGCTCAAAGTTATTAATATTTCTTAAACCCAAAGCACATTAATCTTCATTATCGCTTCCTGGAGATTAAAGTGCTTGGATTTGTAAAAATATCGATAACTTTCAGCAGGACATTTGTTTAAAAAATTAGAAATCTAGCGGCATTCTGTCACCTCTTAAGGATAATCGGGCGAGGAGGAGATGTAGAAGGTGAGGCGGAGGGGTTTCTATTGTTTTCCTGCAGAAAACCAATAGCTGAACAAAAAAATTTTTCCTATTCGGATTGAAAATTCAGGCAATATTAGGGAGTATCACCGGTTAAAAATTATTTTTTGAGCTAATCAAATTTATTTGTATCTGTTCCACACATTAAATGGTTTTTAGATTGTTTTTTTTCAATAAATGAAAAAATATTAATCCATGCGAAAAAGTGGCAACATCGGTAGTTTTTTCCCTTAAATTGACCGCGCTACCCCCACCCGCTCGGTACTTGGGATGTTTTGCTGCTCGTTTGGGCTGCGTGCACAGAAATTACATTTTTCAGTACTTTTTTCGCTATTATTAATAAACAATGCTCCTAGGCGACAATATTTTTCACTCAAAAAATCATTGATCACATGTTCTAAATGTGTCTAAAGTTTCATGACTTTGGCCGCACTTTTTCCTTGGGTTTTGCAGTTTTTTTTGTGATTTCCATAAGATCACGAGTTAAATGACCACTTTTTCAAAAATTCATAATAAATTAACCACGCTCCCCAGCAGTCTGAAACTTTGCACACGCCTTTTCCATCATTAAAAGAATATGTAAAAAAAAGAAAAAAATTCTTTTTTCCCAACACTCCGGGCTCGCCCGATTATCCTTAAGGGGAAACGGAACCCCTGCGTTTATATGAATCTTTAGAATTGTGTTTTCTTCTGCAATTATTATTTTTTATTCATTAAACTACTTCATTGATTCAACAATGCGATAATCGAGTCGATAAAGTAATTTCATAGATAGAAATTAATAATTGTAGGAGAAAACACAATTCTAAGATTTGATGTAGACAAAGGGGTTCCGTCTCCCCTTAAGGGGTAACGGAACCGACCACAAAAAGACGTTTACCAAAAACAAGTTTTCTTGGATTCTATCCAATGAGAATCAATGAAACTTTTTCCCCGTATTGAGAGTAGCGGAACGCATCGCTCTCTTCTCATGCTTTTCTTATTTATGCAAAAAAAAATTGCAAATTATTTAACGGCAAAGACCAGGGCAAGGCTGACGCCATTTTATTTGTAGGAATCTGCCAAGTCATGGTGGAAAAACCGATTTTTTGTAGATTTGTCTTAGCCGATGGCTATTTTCATGAGAAGAGAGCGATCGAGTGAGGTCCAAGACAGATTTTGAGTACAAAAATGTACTTTTGTCGCGTAATTTTTGGAAAAACTTGTTTATGATGATTGGGTGGTATCCAGGAGGTAACATGTCCTTTACAGGGCACCAATTGTAAGAGGGAAGTACTTTTACGAGTCAGAAGATGATGTAGAATGTTTCCATACCATTATTATTTAGTTATATCCATTTATTTATATTTTATGGGCTTTTGTACTTTTCACGTATAAAATCCAAAAAACCACGGGAAGCTGAAATACCGATAGGGGGGACCCCTAACCTCTACGTGCGACGGGTTCCGTTACCACTTAAAGGGAGACCGCGGTGAAATTTGAGTCTTCGCTCGGCCTTGAGAGCCGTAAGACGACTTTTGGTATATGAAGGGATATATTAAAAAGTAAGAAAACTTTTAGACCAAACGCGTTTTGCCCTGTACATCCACCAAAAACGTAATTTTTCACGTTTTTAGCTTAAAAATGCATGTTGCACCACATGCGATATTTCGCTCTTTTTTCGTTATACCCCAACGAACAAACCCAAGTATCCGTTTTACTTTATATGTATTAGATCGTGAGAAAATGATTTCTCTAGTTTTTTCTTTTCTTTCCTCTTTTTCTTTTCCCTTAGGGGATCATCTGTGTGTCAGAGGAATAATAAATCAATTTCTACCTATCTAATGATTGAGCAAGTATAGTTTTCATCTACTCACGCGAAGAATTCGACACCCTTCCTCTGAATTTATGGACACGTCCTCTAGCATTTCTGTGAGGTCTGATCTCTGATCATCATCCCAGGTGATCCTTTTTTTTACGGCACGGGAAGTGTTCATCTCCTTCAGTTTAAAATAGAAATACCAACGGGTCTCACCTTTCTGGAAGCATATGATACACGATGGATAAGAATAATTGGAGAATTTTCTGACAACGGGATGGACCTCCCACTCCCAATATTTCTTTCATGACTTTTATGAAAATTTTTTCAAATTGTTGGCGAATGGTCTTAAAAATGTTTCAAAAGAGTGTAGATGTCCGCGTTGGCTTCTAGTAAGATTTGCTTACCTTTATGTTGTTTACTTGAGGTTGAGGCGCAAGGCAATTTTGTTATAATTATTTGACTTTTTTAAAATTATTGTTGTTATTCTGAAGAGGAGAGCGGAGACTCAGTTCTATGGTGAAGGAGGGAAAGCATGTGTAGATGTAAAACAAAGAACAACTTTTGCAACATCAAGGAAATAAAGAATTGAATTGAATATTTCTGTCGTGACTCAGATAATGAGGTTGCATTAGTATTTAGGAGCCCCATTACAGGTAGAGATGCAAAATCAGGGTGTCGTAACGGTCATGTGAAGCACGAATTTTCGAAATTTTCGAATTCCGAAAAATTCCGGAAGAGATGCCCTAACGAGCACCCTAATCTACATAAATGCATAATGACGATCATGAACAATTTCTAATTTGTGATGATCACAATTTAAAAAAATAGTTTCATGTACATCGATGAAAAATAACCATGATTTTCATTTCAAACTGCAGACTAGACGATTCTTGCTCCGACCAGCGTCGGAGTAAGACGTGTTTACGAGTAGCTCCGACCGTTGACTAACCGAGTCATTAGTGAACGTTTCAAGTGTTTAATTCATTCATGGTATGCATATCAGCTTGCATTGGATATCCTGAATTAATCCAACTCTTTTTTTGTTTTTTTTGTGTACGAAACAAAAAAAATGAGCTCAACTGCACCAGCAAACGCTGGAATCAACCCGACTGTAAACAAAAACATCGAACAGAATTCCGAAATGGACATTCCTGAAAACGGAATCGAAGATGCTGCAGCAAACTACGTCAACATATGCAAGTGCCCTAACTCAAGAAACCCAAGATAAAAGAAATGGAATGGAATCATCATTGAAGCAATTCCAGGAGTTCCTCGAAACGAATATTCTTTCTGTGTGGGAAGATTCATAGGTCCACAACACGTTAAAACAATCACCAAGACTTCAAATAACAGAATTATTTTGTTTGTATCATCAGAGAAATGGGTGGACAAACTCATTGGCAAAAGCACTGTTCTAAAGATTGGGAATGACGTGCTGATAATCAGGCCTCTTGTTGCTAAGAAAAAACGTGTTGTTTTTTCTGACGTCTGTCCTTCTCTCCCCAACTCCGAGATTGTGAAGAAACTAGTAGAACTGAAGGATATAAAGGATCCTGATTACGCACACGTGCAAAGCCATCGAAGACAAGTATTCAATGAATGGAAATATTCATACATGTTCCATTGAATACTATTCATGGAACATGATGACGTGATGAAACTGCCAGAAGTGATGAGATTTAACTACCAGGGCTTCAACTATTTTGTTTACGTCACGCAGGACAACCCAGCGTGCTTCAATTGCAGGAAGATGGGACATTATTCTAAGAACTGTCCCGACAAAAGTTTAGTGAACGAAGGCACACCAAGGTCACCGACAACTGTCATTACTGAGGAACAGATAAATGACATTCCTGACACCAGCAACAAAACTGTCTCAAACGATAACACGATGGACTCAGAAGCGACAACAGAAACACCTATCCCCTCCCTCTCCCTTCCTATAAATTCTGATCCCTCTCCATCTCCACCCAATGAGAACCACAAAAAACCCCGCGACTCTCCTAACACCCCGGCTTCCCTTCTCAAGCCCTTTTCAAGAGATCATGTCTGGAATCAGATATTGATGATCTATTGTCAAGAATAACAGACCCTCCAGGTGATGCAGATGAAACTGGATTTGTTGTTCCTAAAGCACACGTTAGAAAAATGCGCAATCAAAAGAGCAGGAGCAACAGTCAATGTAAGGCACAAAAACCGAACGGTAAACAGTACACAGAAGAGTTCCTCCGCAAAAACACTCTTCGACTGAAAACACAAATGGAAGATCACCCAGAAATTTACGATTGGAATTATGAAGGCTTCATTCAGATGATCCTCACCTGGCAAGTAGACAAAAATGTCAACACATTCAAAACAGAATATCCAGAGGACACTCACTATCTTCAAAAATTTCCCAGTAAAATATATGTTCACCTCGAAGATATCTCAATGAAATCCTTCATCACTAAGTTTAAAAAACGACTCATGAGCCCCGAAGGTGACTCGGACTTCTCTTCATAGATTCCAAAAAGGATAACGCAAACAATTCTCAACACAACAACAATACGAAGGATCTACGAATATTATTCTGGAATGTCCGAGGTCTTCAAGCCTATTAGGAGGACCTCCTATCGGCCTCAGTCGATGCAGATATTATTCTATGTGTAGAAACTCATCTGAATCCTCTGGACCGAAAAAAATACACCCTCCCAGGATTCGAAACAATTAGAAAAGACAAAGCAGCCAAAACAGGCGGAATGGCCATTATCCTGAGAAAAAATTTAACAATTCAATTCCTGGAAGACACAAATCTGCGTAACCTCGAAATTGAAATGTATGGATTCAAAATTACTAATGTCAAACCAAAACTCAATGTGTACATGTGTTATCGGCACCCAGGAGAAGGTACATTGCACATGAACTATTGGGAGAGAATTGTCAGTGCTGCCAGTCAACACGACAACTCTCGTCTGGTGGGAGACTTTAATGCCCATCACGTCTCTTGGAATTGTGAAAAAGTGGAGTGTATCCAAGCAGATAATCTCTTCATACATAACTCAGACACATACACCCGCATCGACATGTATAGACAAAAAAAATTGAATATTGACCTCGTGCTCTCGACTCCGGATATCGCTGACCTCACCTCCGTCACAGTCCTGGAGGAAACGTGGGGTTCGGACCACTTCCCTATTTTCATTGACATCGGAGTGAGAACATCCATCTACCACCGTGAATCGTTTAAAATTACTTCAATAAGAACGGACTGGATAGAATTAGGTAATATATTGAGAAACACATACTCTGTATATCTCGATCGCAATCTCGATTCTCTGAGCCCCACTGGTAAATACTCTCTCTTCATTAAGAATCTAAAAAATGACGTAGCAAAATGTACCCCTAAAAGACAAAAAGTCCCTGCGGCAATTCGTATAAATCCTGTTAGATGGTGGGACCAAGAGTGCGGAAGAGTTAAAAGGCTCAGAAAAGCATCGTACAAAAAATGGATGTTTACAAAAGAAATAAAAGACCTTATAGCATACAATAAATCCGTTGCAGTTGCCAGGAAGACATTTAAAACCAAAAATAAAAAGAGTTTTATCAAGTTTGCATCAGGCATAGACTCCAGAACAAATCAAACCTATGTTTGGAATACCTGCAAAATACTAAAAAAATCCTGGATTAACATCAAAAGTTCTAGGGTTAGAGATGATGGAAAAATCTTACAGTCCATAAATAACTCAATTCAGAAAATTGCTCCCCCTAGCTGTTCAACAAATCCAGAAAATAAGACAAATATACCTCCCACTTCAACCAAATTTGATGAATTCAACACAGCCCTCAAATCTAGAAAAAACAATTCCGCACCCGGAATTAACGACATTGATTATAATCTCCTCAAAATTCTTCCCGACAAACTGAAACTTATTTTACTTGATATTTTCAATGAAATGTTTCTTTCTGGCAAATTTTCAACGGAATGGATGCACTCATACATCCACTTTGCTCCTAAACCAGAAAGCGATAATGTTCGCCCGATAGCATTGACTTCTTGTGTAGCAAAGCTATTTGAAACAATGCTGAAAAACCAACTTCAATGGTGGGTTGAGCATAATGGAATGCTCCCTGAATGTCAGACTGGTTTCCGCCCAGGACTTTCGTGTCGTGACAATCTCAGTAACTTAATCCTCAACGTAGAGGATAGTTTCAGAGATAGCGAACACACGATCGCCGCTTTTTTGAATGTTCAGGGTGCCTTTGATAATGTCAACGGGGAAATCCTTGTCGAAGACCTCATGAGAGCTGAATGTCCTGCGAACATACTAAGATATATAAAATTTCTGACATATGAAAGATATATTCATACTGATTCCCTTGGGAAGGAAGTAAGAACTGTCAGGAAAGGAGTTCCACAAGGTGGAGTCCTCCTCTTCTCATTAATATACACTCTATACAACAGATTAATTAAAAAAGATATAGACGAAAGGGTCAATGTTTCTTTGTTTGCAGATGATATTGCACTGTTTACGCGATCTTCCGATAAACAGTGCAATCTACTAACTCTAGAATCCTCTGTCGAAACAATTTCCAATAACTTGAGAAAATTAGGTCTAGACCTCGCTCCAGAAAAAACAGTATTAGTACGATTTAGTAAGAAAGGATCCGATCCAGCCCGAGCGAAAATAAAAGTAGGCTCTCATGAAATCTCACCCAGCCTATCGGCCAGATTTCTCGGTATACACTTCGACCAAAAACTCAACTTTAAATGTCATATAGGAAAAATACAGGAAAAATGTCTGAAGTCACTAAATATTATAAAATATCTCAGATGCACCTGGTGGGGAACCGACCCTGAAACACTAATCATTTTATATAAAAGTTTTATAAGGTCTGTGTTAGACTACGGTTTGTTCGTATATTATACCAACAATAAAGCCACCAATTCCAAACTAGACAGCATTCAGAACTCGGCAATAAGGTTGGCGCTAGGATATCGTCGTTCCACACCCATAAATGTCATGATCGGGGAATCGAAGCTTACATACATTAAAAATAGAGCGGTATTTCTTTGTAAATCGTATATAACAAAGGCCATGTCGAATACATCGACATTAATATCACGAACCATGAATTTCCTGTTTTCAATTTAAGAAATTAAATCTAGACCTAACGACAAATTAATGACTGAGAACATCAGAGAGATAATGTGCCAGCTAGTCTTGATGTATACGAACAACCACTTCAATGTTTTCAAGAATGAATACGACATAACAATCCTCTCCATAAATATAAATAGAGAAATTGGACTCAGAGCGCAATTAGCAGAAAAAGCAAACGATATTGTAAATACAGAAATAATACAAGCGAATCCAGAGGCATACTGCGTCTACACTGATGCAAGTAAGGACCCGAGCATTGACCATGCTATACAACTCCACAGGGACAGCTCGGTCTTTACGTCTGAATGTGTGGCCCTCACAACTTTCTCATCCTCTCGGATTCACTGAGTACACTCCAAAGCCTTCAGTCGACCAAACTAGACCCCAAAACAAACTCATATCTCCTAGAGATTAAGGCAAAATATGCAGAGTTTACAAAAAATAATGTCGATAATAGCTCCATAACGTTTTACTGGATCCCTGCGCACAGAGGAATCGAGGGAAATGAGGAGGTTGACACACTAGCAAAGAATGCAGCACAATATAATGATATTGACTACCTAGTACCATACACCGATCTCCGAGCCAATTACAAATATAACGAAGAACAAAATTAGATAAGAGAAATGATATACCAGTCTGAAGTTAAACTCAAAGGAGTCGAATTCTTCAAAGAATCCTTTAGAGAGTCATTCAAACCATGATACAAGGGCACAAAACCCACCCACGAGCCTTGATTACATGGGTTAACAGAGTTAGGGCCAACCATTATCACTTGAAAGCCTCTCTAAAACGAGTACATATAACTGACGATGCGAGTTGTACCTGTGGATATGAAAGTCAAGACACATTCTGTGGCACTGTCCCACTCTGAACAATGAAAGATTAACAATTATTAGGGAACTTAATGTAAAGTTCTACTCACGAACTCAGTCACTCCCTTATTGAAAATAACGAATTCGAAAATTCGCAAAACCCTACACACCTTTTCCATAAATACCAGACTCAAAGTGTAAAAACAACTATTGTCAAAAAAAAATATGAGAACAATGTTAGACTAACACAGTCAAATAGTTCAGGACACTTGAACCGGACTTGCACAAACCGTGGGATTGCTTACCATGATGTACACAAGACAGCATGGTATTGCTGACCAATGTCTGGATGACAGGAAGAAGAAATCACATTTCTCGTTCCCGCCATCCAGCAATATTATTTAATATAAGTTATTGTAACAATACTGATAGTGTAAATAAATCCTGTAGATTTCTGCACTCTAAACAATAATAATAAAAAAACTGCAGACTTGGCTCACACAAAATGAAGTTAAATAAAAATTGATAAAAAAAAATAAAGTTGGATTCGAGGAACTACTCACTCCATAATTGAGTGACACCATGATTTCGAACTGAAGTCGATTTCGGGTGATTTCAGCGGTGATTTCAGTGATTTCGAGCGTCACGGAAGGTGATTTCATCATCTCAAATGATTTCATTATTTCGAAATCGGTAATTTTAGAACAATCAACTTAATAAATAGAGGTGCAGCAAAACAGGTTGTGTCAAATTATGAAAATCGAAACTGGCAGTATTAACTGGCAAATAATAACGAATTCGTTTGATTTTACTCCGCTAATCTCGAGCTTCCCAGCAAACAGTATGTCGACAATTTGTCGACAAATTGCCGATATCCTGTTACATTTTAGATAGCACTGGCAAAAATTGTGTTCTGGTCTAATGACGATGAAAAGCGGTCAATTTTACCATTTTACTATGGCAGAGTTCTGCATTTTATTATCATCATTGGCAGGTGTGGCAATTTCAAAATCACGAATTACTTGCATAGTTTGTACTACGTCAGTGCGCCACTGATTTCGGTGATTTCATTAATTTCAGACGATATCACGTGATTTCGGATGATTTCGAAAATGATTTCGCAGAGCTGAAATTACTTGATTTCAATGATTTGGGTGATTTCACATGATTTCGGAATAATTTCATGCCAGAGAGGCGCCGTGATTTCGGAAGTGAGTAGCCCCTCGGTTTCATATGTGTAGAGGAAAAATGACTGTTATTTTTTCTTTTCAAATTGTGATGGTCATAGAGGGGGGGGGGGAAGAGGGGTAATTCTGACAGCTATAATACGATAGGTAATAGACACATTGGCATCTCTAACTGCAGGCATTAACTTTCACTTACAATAGCTCAACTAATTAAATCCGAAAAATGTTTAAAAATGAAACGTAAAAATTATAATAGAGAGTGAAAGAAAATTCAGTATCCTGTGTTGTCTAAATTAAATCGATTTTTTAAATTATTGTTATCTATATCAAATATCATGGATGTATAACCTCGACTCACTTTATGCCACATAAGACAACAACGTCTCTTAATCAGCGAGTGTGGCTCCTCTTGTCCAGAATATGGATTTTGTCCTATTCTATCGGCCGACGAAAAATAAGTGAAGTGTAAAGTTCTGATTACACAAGCACGGAGTCCATAAGGCCGTACCATACACGCTGGAGTCAACCTCTCCGGCAAATTTCCAGTGTTTTTATAAAATCTGCATGGAGAAGATAAAATCAGGAATGAAAAGATCGAACTTGATTGTCTTATTGATTTTCCTCATACCTCTTGTAAAGGTGAAACCAAAATTTGGCGGTTTTAACAACATGGTTAGAACCTTTGCAAATTCTCGCAAATTTTCCGACTGCTTCAGGTGCAATATACTCTGATATCAAAAACCACAAGTCCAGGGGATAATCGATTCCTAAAAAAAAATTATCCGATATCTGAGGGATGATTTACGTCAGCATTCGGGGAGAAAAAAGTTCCTGGTTTCCAGAACTACTGAGTACTAATGAGAATAATAATTTTCTGTTCGTCTTATAATTCAATTCATTAGATTAGGTGGAATACACTTTTCTATTTCCATTCGATTGAAATTCAGCATCCCATTTTCCTTTTTCCTCCTCTGGGTCTCCCTCTGGGCCTTACTCTGGACTTTGGATTTTGCTGATCATTTTTTTTTTCAATTAATCCATTGACAAAATCTTCTCTCGTTAAAACTTCTCAATAATTTTCCATTCTACTAAATGGAAAATTATTGTTTTCATCAGTACTCCCAAGAATTAAAAAAAGTTAATAAACAAAAGTCGAAAAAAAAAATTGAATAAAAAAATTTTTTTTTGCTTGAATGGCATAGGAGAGTGGGGCAAAATGAAACAGTCGTTTTTCGACTACATACATGAGCTTCAAGTTATACCACAATGAAAATGGGTGTGCCTCAAATTGATTTTAAATTGAGCCAAGAATGGGAAACAATTAGAGATCGTCATTTTTGAGATCACGTCATATGACCAAAAAATGACGGTCATGTGATACACAATTTTTTCAACTACAAATCATAGTCACAAATAATTTGTAAGTAAATTATTGCCAAAACAGCTATATAGATACAAAACGACGATCATAACTAATTTCTAGTTTGCGACGGTCATAATTTTAAAAAATAGTTTCATCTATAGAAAATGACGATAACCGTCTATTTCAAAATGCATAGGGAAGAGTGGGGCAAAATGAAACAGTCGAAAAACGAGCTGAAAAACGATAGCTGTTTTGGCAATAATTTACTTACAAATTATTTGTGACCATGATTTGTAGTTGAAAAAATTGTGTATCACATGACCGTCATTTTTTGGTCATATGACGTGATCTCAAAAATGACGATCTCTAATTGTTTCCCATTCTTGGCTCAATTTAAAATCAATTTGAGGCACACCCATTTTCATTGTGGTATAACTTGAAGCTCATGTATTTTGTATTCAATAATCTAACATCCAGTTTACCCCGGCTTCCCCTATGTCATAAAACATTAATTTTCATCATACCACTGGTATCATCTTCTGGTGTTTCAATCGCTTTATTTTTTCTCCTTGATCGCGAATACTTCTTCATTTGCTCTTCTGAAACGAATTTGAACGATTAAAAATCATTGGCAAAAGGCACCTAAAATATAAGTTTTAATGCATATTCAAGTTTTGTTTATAGGGACATAGCGACAATATTTCTTAAGCTGCTATCTCTATTTCAATTACTTCTCTAAAATAGCAAGAAAAGATTCTTTACAAACGAAACTTTTTTCCCAAAAAAATTTTGGGCATAATTACACGTGAATTAACTACTGTTCTATGTATTCCTGGTAAATTCGCAGCCATACGTAGCACCCAACATCGACGCAACTAACCTACAACTTCTGATTGTAATTCTGTGTCGTTTTTCGCAGCAGCTTTCCTCAATCTATTATGAACACCCGGAGAGTTGGCAAAATCATTGATGGTAACGTCTGAAAAATAAACTCCTCAATAATGAATACAGAGGGAAGAAATCGGGAAGTCAAATTGACTGCGATGATAATGACCTCCGGAAAAGGAACTGGGCTTCTTCCTCGGTGTGAGCTTCTTGTCAGCCTTCTTAGCCGGTCCCGGCATTTTACAAAAAACCTAGTATTGATAGATTCTACACTTGTCACAAGCATGATTTGATTTTTGGGGTATAATTCAATAATGAAGGTGAAATAAGAGGCAGAGGTGGTGAACACGAATCACCGCGGTCCCCCATCGTCGATCCACTAGCGAAGACGGTTTCTGGGTTTGTCTAAATTATATTGGTGAGTGGCGCCACGTAACAAAACTAAATATTTAAAAAATTTTCTTTGTAGTATATTTCTTTTTAACGGGGTATATCTCTGTAAATAATGGTGATATGACAAGAAGACAGAATACCAAATCTATGTATTTTTTGTTGGGAAATATCTTTGATACGAATTTCTTTCTCGTATCTCGAATCGTCCACTCGTAAAATTGTAATAAATCAAAACATTGGGCAATTTGCAGAACCGTGCAGCAGAAGAGCATTAATATCTCATTAAGGGTTAGGTGTAGGGGCAATCTTCAAAAAATTAATTATATGTCAAATTTGATGGCCAACATTTTTTGTTTGAACAGTAGTATATATATATACCTGTAATAATAAGAATAATAATAATAAAATGTTATAGTTATAAAACTGAAAAACTATTCTTCTCTATTTCCATCGACTTTGTCGATAAACATTTTTTGGCATGGGCTTCTTCTGAGTGTGACCTTGTCAGCCTTCTTGGCCGGTCCGAGCGTTTTACAAAACAGTATATTTCGTAACGAGTGCAAAAAACATTTTTTCACGAGTTACGAACAATATTTTTCATCACAATGTGGCGGAAATTGGACTTTTAGGCACGCGGAGGGTGCCGAAAAGTTCACTTTTCGTCACAGCGTGATGAGCAAACTTATATTGTTGGAGTTTACACTTGTTTTTTTATGTGTATTTTTGAAAGTCAAACATTTTTTGTTTGAAACATTTTTCCCGATCTGTAATCGTTTCCGTGATATCATCGTGTAAACAATTAAATTGTTATAAAGAAATAGCGTATAATTTCGCAAAAATCGTCATCATATTTGCAATCAATGACCTTGAAAACAAAGTCCAATGTACAAATCTTCTGGACATCTCAATGTACACAGAAATGCCCCTGGCGTATGGACTAGAGGGACATTTTCTAAAAACATAATTTCATTAGGTTTCATAACATTCTATATCATTTCTAAGAAAAATTAAAGAATTCCAAAATCCGACAACAACAAATCTTCAATTTGAAAGCGGTCGCGGGACGGAGTCCCCTAATTGCAAATATTGTTAAAGACAAACATATCAACACTTTAGTTTTGTCCCTCGGATTTTGATTAGTTACGACACCAAAATTTGACAGGTACTGGGAAAGAAATTTGCAGTAATAATATAATATTTTTTTTCGTAACAGTTTTTATTGAGCTGAAAATATTTTAATAAATCACTTGATTGAAGAAAAATGAATTATCCATGAGAAATAGTAATGCTATCTTTATTATTAATCTTCAATATACTAAAAAATGAGGCACATAGCACTTGTAACAATTGATATTACACGCCTAATTAACAAAAATATGGTGACTCGGAGGTTCAAAGAATATAACGATATTAATAATTATTAAAAATTTCATCATCCTCTGTGTCTATTCCTTTAATTCCTCTGATATCCGAAGATTTAATAATTAATTCGATTAATCTTTTATCTCGAGTACGAAACATGAGAGTTCATTTATATTACCTTGAAAATCTAGAAATTTATCGAATTATTTTTTTTTCTCATTTCCCATAATTATCGATAATTTATTCATCTTTATTTTTCTTATAAAAAAACAAACTTATTGTTTACCTACAGTGCTTTCGATATTCTCTTCAATTTTTCTTCATTATTTTCATTCTTCATTATCGGCTACGCTCAACGTGTTCTAGTAGTATTTGGTTGATTTCCGATCGTGTCACACCTCCTATAATAAAGTAAGTAGGGTACGCGGGGTGGGGATGGATTCAATACGTCATTCTCGGATATTCCTTTAACAGAACTGTCGTCGTAACGGACCCATGCACCAAAACCAACGTGAAATGCATCTGTTACGTAATGGCCCTTTGTTGCCTCTTTGCCATCGTGATACGTAACAGCAAATAGTTTATACTGTTTCTGTTTACCTGACAATTTTTTCCCTGTATTTGGTGACAGGAGTTCTGGAATTAATGAACAGAACAAGTGTTAAGAACAATTTTGCCAGAACTTTGAGCATGAAAATGTGATTATTGAATTTATGAATAGAGTACAAATGTAAAAACTTTTAGAAAGAAATAGGATATAGGGGAGAGTGGGGCAAAATGAAACAGCGGGGCCGAATGAAACAGAAAAACGCCTGTTTGACGCAATTTAAGCAAAAAATAATTATTTTTTATTAAATTTTTTTATCAACTTGTTGGTATTTTTGGGAGTACTGATGAGAATAATAATTTTCCATTCAGTAGAATGGGAAATTATTGAGGTGTTTTGACGGGCAAAGATTTTGTCATAATGTTTTCAATACTTACTGGCATCGATTTTAAGATCAATGGCATAGGCGACATTTTTAAATATCTTGGAACACCCATCGAGTTTATAATCGAACCACTTTAAATGGAGGATGAGAACAACTGGAAGCTCTTCGAGAGTAACTTGTTTCCACGCCTGAATCTGCTGCTTTGTTTTGCTACAGGTCATACCTTCCACTAGGTCCTTTCCCACGAGAATTTCTAGGGCAGCTTTCACTGATTCTGCTTTCTGCAATCATCATTCAGAAATCGGTATTCAAATAAAAAATATTAAAAGTGGAGTAGCTTACCTCGATGTCTAATTGAAGAGTAAAAAATGGCTGTACATTGTCAGTGCTTTGATCACCCTGACGCAGAATCCTGGATCTCAGTTGACCACGGAAGATATCGGATAATGGGGTGCGTTCAAACTCAGTGCAACGGGTTATTGAACCTTTGTTCTTGGGACCCATCACCTAGAAACATTTTTGCTCCCTCATTTTTTTTAGTTCCAATGGATTTCATTGGCATTGTTTAACACCAACACTCCATTTTCATGGCATATATAACGTTTTGCGTTAAGACTTTTTGTACAAAAAATGGAATACCAGCCTAATTACAGGATATACATATTGAATTCTACTTCAGGGTGTCTGCCTAAACGTTTGAACAAAATTCCCTGACTTTTCCCGGTCAAATTGATGAAATTCCCTGACCATAGAAAATGTTTTTTTTTTATGAAAGAATGTTCAATTTATAGACTCTAAGGTGAAAAGCGTAGTAGGACGCATTAGTGGGGACACCGGCCTTCCGTTTTGAAGGCCATAGAGTCGGGATATTGAAATTCACCTTAGAGGGTTAGAACACTTGATATACACGGAGAGAAATTTTTTAGAAAAATTCTAGTGCTAGCACGGGAAAAGAGGCGCAAAGTGACAGCCAGGAAAAAATTCCAGTGCCGGCACTGGAAATTTTATTGGGTAAACGTGAATTTTTCTCCATATTTCTGTGAAAATTTCACAGAAATCCCCAGAAATCCTACCAGAAATACCAAAGAATTTTACCTTAACAGCACTAGAATTTTTCACAGCCGGTGAATTGTGATTTTTTCCAGTACTCGTACTAGAATTTTTCTAGAAAATTTCTCTCCGTGTACGAGAATAACCTGACGTTGGTAATCAACGAGCAATAGATGAATCCATGCATATTAACTTTTTGATCGAACGGAATTGAAAGACAGACGTCGGTAAAATAAAATTATCTTTGATTGACGAAAAGACCCATCAAGTGAATTTTCGTCGTCATTTCCCATTTTCCTTGGATCATAATTTTCATCTGATTCAGATTTTTTTTCAATGTTCGTCAGACGTCAAAGAATAAAATTAAGTATTCGTTTTCCACTGCACAGAATGGATTGAGAAAAAATGAATCTTTTAGATTTAGTTTGTCTGCTCCACTCGATTTTTCAGACGTTATGCAAGAATAAACAAAAAAGAGGGCATTGAAAGGAACATTTTTTCATGGGCTATTATCCATAATTTATGACGTAAAATGGGTACTTAATTTCATTTCCGAGGGTCTAACAGAAAATTGCGGAATATAAAAATCTACATCAAATGAAAATTGCCCAAAAAAGAAGTATTGCTAAGGAAATTTTCAAAAACTTTTCAAGTTTAGCGAGATCTCCTCTTAAGAAGTGATCAGTCTGTCAACTTTTCAAAAAAATACGAACAGCGGAAAAATTTTGTTAGAAAATTAGGATGCTAACATCTCTCTAGCGGACCAGGTTGAAACTCTCAGTGTTTTTGTAGTTTGTATATTGCTGGAAATGAGGATTTTTCAAATATTTCCACAATCTTGATATGCAAGAATTCGTTTGAAAATTAGAATGCTGAATTTAGAATTTTCCATTAAAAAAACGCAAAAAATAGTGGGTTTTCCGTTTCATCCCACGGGAAGATGTTGACATGCCACTTTTCTAAGTAAATTTGAGATCAAATTCCAGAAAAATGTTTTTTGGCAACTGAGGAATTCCACAAAAATCTAGGTGCTTGGAAAAAACAAGCTGCAAATTTTAAAATTCCAGCAAGTTGTAGAAATTCCCTGATTTTTCCCTGACGTTTCGAGACTAATCAAATTCCCTGACAATTCCCGGTTTTCCATATTTCCCTGACGACTGGAAACCCTGTGCTTAATTACAATGTACGAAATGTACGAAATTTACGCAATGAGGAATTTCACACTCTATGGGGAATTCCAATTTCCGAGAGCTAGGATGGTGTGTAATAGATAAACCACCTGAAGAGTCATTATTACAAACTCGATTATTCTACTTACTTTCCACTCCTCATCTCCACTGTTGTAACTAGCATTCAACTCCTCGGATGGTTTGGAGTTCTGGGAGGCCTCACTCACTTGCTTCATCAACTGTAAAAATTTGAAAATATTAGAAAATGAAATAAAACGAATAGAATTCGATGTCATCTACTTGAGAAAAAATCACCTCCAGCATTTCGTCACTAATGCCATTGAGTAGACACGAGAGGAACTCTTCAGCGTCCTCCTGTCTCCCCTCGATGGAGAAAACTCCAGGGGATGATGTATTCTTTAACATAGTGTAGACGTAGGAAGGCTCGAAGGCGGTGCCACCTTTGATGTCAAGGCTGTCGTCATTCTTCTTCTGACCTCTGGTATTTCTGGGCAGGCGTTCACCCTCGGGTAGGGGTAGGAATTCATTAACAAACTTCACCCTTGATAAACATACAAATAGAAATTTCACTAATTGAATAAACTGACTGATTTTAAGGTAGCATAAATAGCACTGGAATTTTGAAGATTAAAATCTGGAACACCGAGAAAAAAATATATTTTTGCCAAATGTTCATTTAGTTGAGAGGAGCATTAATTTTTTCAAAATCGTATTTCTTCAATCGAGTCATTCCCAGATTAGCCTGATTAGGTTTCTATTATGACAATTATGTTGCTTTGGAAGATGACTATGTTGCATATGACCTTGGATGAACTCCTCCAATGATTATTCATTTTTCCTAAATTTCTTATTTTCTAGAGGGAAGAATTTCGATTAATTTTTTAATGTTTATAATCATTGAGGGAGTTCACTCAAGCTCAAAACTAGGATGATCATCTTCTAGAGCAATACAACTGCCATAATTGAAACCTAATGAGAATTGTCTGCAAGTGATTCGGCTAGAGAAATACGGCATTGAAAAAATAACTACTTTTCCCAAGTAAACGGATATTTGGCAAAAATATTTTTTTTTCTCAGTGAATAAATTCTAAATGAAAGTTCATATGAATAGAAATATTCTGGTTGAATTTGAGTTCAACTGACAGCCGAGTATTTGAGATTGCAACGTAGATGTGGAAACCATCAAGTCGTCTCTAAACTAACTACTCTTGGTCTCATTGGTCTCATTGATCTCATTGGTTGACACCTGTCATTGGTTCACTCTCAGTGATTTCATTGGTTGGCCACCAAGAGTAGTTACTTTAGAGACCACTTGAGGGCTCCCACATCTACGTTGCGATCTCGAATTGTTGATAATAATTAATATAGGACTGTACAAAATAACACAGTCTTATGACAAACAAAACTTTTCGAAGTTTAGGCGAAGATTAAAATCTAGAAAAAATCTCTAAAAAATGAAAAAGTAAAAATTCTATGCTCAATATGAAAATTATTGTCAATGGATGATGTATTCTTCAAGTTAAATTGCCAAAACTTAATTACAGGCATGGCAATAATGTGACTACAATGATCGCACTAATCTCACTGAAATTATAAATTAACGCTTTCTGGTAAAATTCTGAATACGAATAAATTTATTACGATTCCTAACAAATGATTTTTATGGTGAAAATTATGGGAAAAATTGATTATTTATAAATTATTTATAGAAAATGCTCGTAATTTTCAAAAATTGCAATTTGAAAATTATTTTATCAATCTTCTTCCAAAAGTAAACTTTCCAATTTTTTTTCACATTCAAATTTCGACCTGCAAAGTTTAAATAATAAAATCACTATAAAATGTCCAGAAACTTAGGGTTAAATATGGCTCAAATGACAGCTCTGATGTTCCACTACAAAAGTAGAAACGCATTTCACTGAAGAAAAAATAACCAAAGTACTTGAATATCCGTAATATCTCGATTCTTTCAAAAGTTAGAATTCGTACAAGAATTTTGAGCGACAAACGGAAAAATAAATATACTCCAGAAACTTTGCATGGACAGGTATACATATTTTTCTGTACTGTTTCTCACGATTTCTCGTCTGGGAATTGGTATTACATACTTCCCAAACTCGAAAACTTGAAAATCACTACAGAAAAATATTGCTCCTGGGCTGTTGCGATGGGGTTTTTTTACTCGTGTGGTTGGCCAGTCCTCGCCTACGGCTCGGAGGCCAACGCCACAAGAGTAGAAAACCCCATTAAAAAATACTATTATCGATGGTCGATAATACTATTGATCGATGGAAATAGAAGACATCGGTGCGAATATTTTGAAAAAAATATTGAAATCGGTTGAGTATTTTTTTAGATATTCAAGACAATAGATTTAGATACAAAGTGGAATATGCCCTAAATTAACCATCCGATTTAAACTCAGAAACTTTGTACAAACGGATCAGTATATGTTGATTGATTGAGGTAGGAGACATCGAGATAAATATTTTGAAAAAAAGTGGAAATTCATTGGATAGTTTTAGAGATATTTGCGAAAAACTATTTAAAAACAATCAGCGATTTCTCCAAAACGGTTGGGTCGATTGGATTGAAATTGTGCACACTGTTAGTCCCCCTGAGATTTTTGCTTCCGAATGGAAGCCCTATAATCGTTCAAATTTAAGTTTTGGATTTTTTGTGTTATATCGACCCATTATGATCCCAAAAGTCCGAAAATGCAATTTTTAAACTGTATCCGCACGTATGTGTGTGGTAAAGTTTTTCTTCAATTGTTCGCTAATGAATAAACGAAATTGAATTTTTTTTTCTTCAAATGTAGGTATTGTTGAGCCCTATCGATCGCCATTAATTAAAATTTAATTCATCGATTAGTTTTTTTACTTTTGGAATTTTTTCGAAAATTCGTTGTTCTACGATAACTAAAAAAAATATTCTGAAGTGATTGAATGATGGCTTAAAAAATTTATTTGGATGTCCCTTTGACCGAGTAATCATTATTTTAATTCGAAAATTTCCAAAAATTTTGAGTTTTTTGAAAACGATAATTACGGGGATATTGAATATCATGCTTCAAATGAATTCAATCATAACTTAAAATGTTTGTTTTAATTCCATTAAGTCGAATTTAAAAGATAGCTATATTGGTTGATTTTATTTTTATGATGATTGTTGAAAATTATGAATTTTTCATGAATTTCCCTGAAATTGAGCTTTCTGATGTTTTCTTCAAATGTGATGTTTCAAATTCATTAAAGTATATGTAAATAAAATGTTTCTATTAACATTTTATCGAAGGGCTGAGGGGAGAGATAGAACTGTGAAAAAGACAATCGGTTATATAGAAGAAAAGGGATCATAAGAATAACAATGCTGATAACATTCAACTAAGTTGAAAATCTGACAAAATTAGGTAGAAGAAAATCTTATTCAATTTAACGAAAATGAAATAAACAATGAATTATACATTATAGAAGGAAATGATGTGCACAATAATAATTCGGAAGCATATTGCTAATTTATTAGCAAAAGTAACTATACTATATGCAATACAAGATCAATTTCCCACTCGCTTGGAACTATTTTAGTCCTTTAATTATTCGATTTTCCAAAAGTTGACCACCAGGTGGACAGCCCCGAATACACACATGGTCGTCAAACTTAGTATTTTTACGTTTCAAATAATTCAATATGATTTCCAAGTACAATTATAAAATCTAAAAATAGAGCCATTTCAATGCTTCCATTTGGAAGCAAAAAAAATGAAAATCGAACAATTGTAGTGCTTCCATTTAGGAGCAAAATCCCCTCCTACTCACATGTTGTCAATTAGTGGAGTCGATGAGTTTTTCAACGGATGCCTAGAGCGCGGCAGTGCCCTCAGGAGATTGTAAAAAGGTGGACAGGCGAGTAGCGCTTGTAATATACTATTTATGTAGCAATAATTGCTGCGATTCGTCAAGCCACGAGGCAGTAAACTTACAGTCTGCTTATCCATTTGGTAACGCAGTAAAAATTCTGCAATGAAAATATAATAATTGCAACAATTTTAATATCATCACGTGAGGTTTTTCATTCATGATATATTGCATTGTGATATTTTGTCCTTGTGATCTTTTCGAAATGGCATTGATTTCATACTGCGTTCATCATTGTTGTTGGATTATGTATGATTTTTAAAACATATTTGTATAAATTTCGTTTGCAAGTTATTAACAATCTGTGTTCTTTCTTATGTATGGAGCCTCATGACGATTTTACCAATTAGCATCCAACTATATTATAAACGGAAGAATCTCCATGAGAACTCATATGTAAAAAGCGACTTTGATTGTTCATATCTTGAGAAAAATCGATGAAAATGAGGATATTTAATAAAATAGCTTCATTTTTTTACTCGATCATTCATGTAAAATTATATCCGAATTAGAGGTAAACTTTCCAAATAATTTTTTTAAATAAAAAATAAAAAAAAGCTGAATGAAAAATAATAAAAATGTCCAGATGATTATGAATAATTTTACAACTCCGGTGTGCTTCCCAAGAAATTAAGTCAGTTAAGTCTAGAGAAATGAGATTATGTGGATTTAGTATAAATGAGAACATTTCCCTAAATAATGTCATAAATAATGAGTGAACAAGAAAATCATTAATATCGTCCCCGATGATGATCCTCACTTTATTTTTGTCACTGAAGCGGGAGTAGTACTTCAGTGTTCCTCCCTCTAGTCAATTTTCAGGTAGGAGAGAGTGGGGCAAAATGAAACAGTCAAAAAACGACTGTTTGATGCAATTCAAGCAAGAAAATTTGTTTTTATTCGTTTTTTTTTGTCAACTTTTCTTGGAGTACTAATGAGAATAAAAAATTTCCATTCAGTAGCATGGAAAATTCTTGACATGTTTTGATGGACAAAATTTTTTGTAAATGGATTAATTGAAAAAAATATGAAATAGCAAAATCCAGAATCCAGAGCAAGGCGCAGGGGAAGACCCAGAGGGTGACAAAGGAAAATATGATGCTGAATTTCAATCGAATAATCCGTTGACAAAATCTTCGCCCATCGACACTTCTCAATAATTTTTCATTCTACTGAATGGAACATTATTATTCTCATCAGTACTCCCAAGAATAAAGAAAAATTAACCCTTCACGTACGGGGTCGATGCCATGTATCGACCCATGAAAATATGAATGACTCTCTTTGAAATTGATTATTTCCAAAACTATGGAATTTAATTCGACTAAACAAATAACAACGAAAAAAGGAATACTGTAGTTTCAATAAGATATCAGTGAAAGGTTAACAAAACAAAAAAATTGATGAAAACATTTTTTTTTTAGAAAAAAAATTAAAAATTTATTTCTTTTATGAAAAAATGAATAAATATTTTTTTTGCTTAAACTGCGTCAAACAGTCGTTTTTTTTGACTGTTTGATTTTGCCTCGCTGTTTCATTTTAACCGACTCTCCCCTATTAAAAAAAAATATTTTTAAAAAACACGTTGGGGGGTTTCGTCAAGTTGACTTTTCGATTACAAACAAAATGAATCCCTAATTTTCACGCTGAAAATAGTATTTTAATTTTTTTTTTTTTTAAAACGAATAAGCTTTTTTCCTTGGCTGAACTTGCCCTCAAACTGACAGTTTACTTAACTAAAGCTGGTGCAACCGGCTTCTTTCGTTAAAAAAAATGTAGGAAGTATCACTATTCCCGAAAAATTCCTACATAAATCAACCGTCATTATAAACATCGCATGTGAATTCCCTTCCAAATTAACATCAGCATTAATTTTTTCGATCGAAATCTCTTAATTCATCGTATCAAAAAAATTTGATACTTACCCCCCATTCTGTACATAAGAGGATGATTCAACGGTGTCTGTACATGATCCACAGACAGTGGTTTCCTCTCCACGAAAACAGTCTCCACAACCACTCCCAACGGCTCCTCACCACTCTGTCTCTTAACATCCTCCCCCTTCCTCTCTTCCTTCTCAACCCCATTATTTACACAATCAACAACAGTAGTGCGAACAGCTGATGGCAGTTTGAATCCTTGACTCTGGACGAACCCCGGAGGATTTCTCCCCTCGGTGTTCCTGACAATGCTCGCGAAAGTCTTCGCCGCAGGTGTCACCGGCAGCCTCTCCACCTCCTTCACCTCTTCCACGCTCCCCGAATCTTCCCCCCTCTCCTCTCCATTTGTCTTGACTTCTTCAACAACCGACTCCTCCACAGCCTTCACAACTGTTTCCTCTTCCTTCTTAACAGACTCCTTACTAATCTTCGCCACCTCCACCTTCACCTCAGCTGCCTCCTCATCACTCACCTCCTTCACCTCGCACTTTCCCCCATTGACAATGCCATTACTTGTGCTGAGAATCCCCTGAACATCCTCTGCTCTCTTAGAAATCTCCTTCTCCTCACCACTACATCTGCCTACCTTATTATTAACATTATTGTTATGATTATTATTACTTTTATGATTCAACACCTGACGGAATGACTGGCTGGCAGTGTTACGGTGACCCTCGTAAATTTTCTTATCATTCTTCTGTCCGTGATTGACCATCTTCTCCTGATTGTACATTGGATTGTAGTTTTGTGCATTTTGTCGTTGATGTTTAACAGTTGGTGAGGGCTGATGGTAGTTCGAGGGATGTTGATGGTACTGATGGCTGTTGTGGTGGATCTGGGGGTACTGGGGAGGCATGAATATCGGCCGACCAGCGGCTGGATGCTGTTGGGAGGATACGTACGGTAGGTATTGAACCCCTGGATGACACATTGCTGGGATTGGATTGAACTGGCCAGGCTGCATCATATAGGATTGCTGAATGTCGTTGGCGACTGGACGATTGTAGTTGTCGATTTTTCGAGTGCGTGAGCGACCTGAATGACGATTCTCACGGTTGGGGGACTGGGTGGTGAGGACCTCGGTGGGGGTGGGGTTGTACATTGGGGACGGGTAGTGGACTGAGGAGACGTAGGTGTAGCCCGCTGGGTCGGAGGTCGTTGTGGGGTAGGCTGTGGTCATCTGCCAGTCTTGGTATGGGACCTGCATCATGGGTGCAGTGGGGTAGGCCAGGGTCGACATGGGGGATGTCAACATCGAGGGAGGGGTGGAGACGTCGTAACTGGGAATGGATTCATCTGGGGAAAAAGAAATTCAAGATTTTTCAGAGATTTTGAGAGAAATTGATTCTTCATGCAAAATGCCTTCCTCACTGAACAATCACAGCAAAAACTAATGTTTGAATTTCACACACCTTTTGTAGACATCTGTCTAACAGTAAGAAACACCTGAATAAAATGAAAATTTGTCTGAATTTCAAATATGAATTAAGATGTTTGGGCACCTGTTTGTTTGAAATTCAGACACATTTTCATTGTATTCAGACGTTTTTCAGTGTCTGAAAAATGTCTACAAAAGTCGTGTGAAATTCAACCATTCGTTTTTGCTATGATCTTGCGGTCACAGTCGCACATTGATTAAGGATATCCAAGTACTTTGACAATTTTTTTCTCCCGTGAAATTGCTCTTCTACTTTTGTATTCGAACATCTAATTTTCCGACCCTAATTTTCCGCAAATTTTACAATGATTTTAGTATTCAAACTTTGATTTAAAAAATATGAAAAAAATTAGAAACTTTTGTGGAGGAAGATTGATAAAATAATTTAAAAAATTGTAATTTTGGAAAAATTCAAGCATTTTCTATAAATAATTTATAAACAATCAATTATCCCCCATATAAATCAGTTGTTCGGAATCGTAACAAATATTTTCATATTCAGATATTTACCAGAAATCGATTTCATGCCTAAAAAAATTAGATTTGTATAGAATGTAGTCTGAATAACGCTCAATATTCGTTTTTTTTTTCAAATTTTTCTCACGCAATTTAATTGACCAATTTGATGATTGAAAATGGTTGAATCTATAGGATGGTCTGTACCAAACTGTAAAATATACTTGGATATCATTAAAATGAAAATTGAAAAGAAATCTTTCTTATTTTAAACGCCGACATTGCGAATGCTAATTGCATTCCGCAGCAGGATGACTTTATTTTTAAAAAATTCATTTTTAAGGGAGGGGTCTCACCACTTGTTTCAAGTCCCAGAAATATTTGACGGAAAATTTTGTCAATTTTTTTTATACGTTTTTTTAGGTATGAAAAAAGTGAAAGCATGAGTCATTACATTATTTTAATTTTACGACACTATTTGTTGATTTTCCCCTATAAGGAGATGAGCAAATCCAAATCCCATGCGATTGATTTTGCGGGAGATCATATCGAGTATTTCAAAAAGAAAAAGTTCGAAAAAATCAAAAAATTTAGGAGATACGATTTTTCAAATCGATGATTTACAAGAATCGCCAGTTCCAATAAAAAAAAAAGAAAAAAATGCTTGAAATACATTAATATTTTAGAAAACTGTTATACTGTGGTCAAAAAAGTCAAAATTCCCCCGCTCCATAGGTCATTTCCTCCTTTTTTGATTACCGTCAAATTGATGTCAAAGCCTTGATTGTTCGTACTTGTTTTGATTTTTGGGGATGTAAAGGTTGTTCCTCACGTTTCTTCCAGTCCACACCCTTCACAATATGCACATATCACATCGATTTTATTCGCAAACCCATGACGCTGACTGATACGGATGTCCAGTGACACAGTCGCACTCTGGACATTTGAGATTCGCGAGTAAACGTGATAATAATGATTTCTGAACAATTAAATATTCATCCGATTCAGTACTCTGGTCTGAAGCAATCTGCGCATTCACACCATCATCAATATTTTTTATTCGTTCGGGCAAGATTGTCTCATCATTACCACTTGTACCATTCCGTTCAGCGTTATTATTACGGCTAGATGGTTGAGGTCCATTATCTTCACAACAAAAATCACTTAAAACGTTTTCTTGAACTGAATCTACAGTTAGTGGATCACAATCAATGTCTTCACAGTAATCATCAGCAACTTCCAAATGGTTCAATTCCTCAGTTGTCTTCCAATGCTTCTTCGCTAATTTTTTGAAAAAAATCATCTTTGGAAGTTTGGGCATTTTTTCCGTTGAGTACTCGAGTAATACTGCTCAATTCTTTTCAACACACTATCTCAAATAACTTACATAGATCAAATACTGCAAACGACTGAGGTTTGATGACCATTCAATGCTTGGGTTTTACGTAAAACGTAAACATTGACGATTTGACGTTCTGAATAAGAGCCAATTTAATCATCTAAGTCATGAATTCAATGGGATTCCCCCTCCTCCCCTCCTGCTCGCCAATATCGTTCACCGGTTTGTTTTCACCTCCTATGTTGAAGAGCAATAAAGAAAAAAAGGAGAAACAACCTACAGAGGGGGGAATGCTGACTTTGTCAATCACATTATGACTGTTTNGTTATACTGTGGTCAAAAAAGTCAAAATTCCCCCGCTCCATAGGTCATTTCCTCCTTTTTTGATTACCGTCAAATTGATGTCAAAGCCTTGATTGTTCGTACTTGTTTTGATTTTTGGGGATGTAAAGGTTGTTCCTCACGTTTCTTCCAGTCCACACCCTTCACAATATGCACATATCACATCGATTTTATTCGCAAACCCATGACGCTGACTGATACGGATGTCCAGTGACACAGTCGCACTCTGGACATTTGAGATTCGCGAGTAAACGTGATAATAATGATTTCTGAACAATTAAATATTCATCCGATTCAGTACTCTGGTCTGAAGCAATCTGCGCATTCACACCATCATCAATATTTTTTATTCGTTCGGGCAAGATTGTCTCATCATTACCACTTGTACCATTCCGTTCAGCGTTATTATTACGGCTAGATGGTTGAGGTCCATTATCTTCACAACAAAAATCACTTAAAACGTTTTCTTGAACTGAATCTACAGTTAGTGGATCACAATCAATGTCTTCACAGTAATCATCAGCAACTTCCAAATGGTTCAATTCCTCAGTTGTCTTCCAATGCTTCTTCGCTAATTTTTTGAAAAAAATCATCTTTGGAAGTTTGGGCATTTTTTCCGTTGAGTACTCGAGTAATACTGCTCAATTCTTTTCAACACACTATCTCAAATAACTTACATAGATCAAATACTGCAAACGACTGAGGTTTGATGACCATTCAATGCTTGGGTTTTACGTAAAACGTAAACATTGACGATTTGACGTTCTGAATAAGAGCCAATTTAATCATCTAAGTCATGAATTCAATGGGATTCCCCCTCCTCCCCTCCTGCTCGCCAATATCGTTCACCGGTTTGTTTTCACCTCCTATGTTGAAGAGCAATAAAGAAAAAAAGGAGAAACAACCTACAGAGGGGGGAATGCTGACTTTGTCAATCACATTATGACTGTTTTCTGAAAGATAAATATATTCCAAGCATTTTTTTCGTTTTTTCCTAGAGAAAATGGCTTTTTTTGAAATTCATCGATTCGAAAAATTGTATCTCCTCCTACATTCTTTGATCTTTTCGTACTTTTTTTTTTAAATATACTCGATATGATCTCCCGCAAAATCAATCGCATGGGATTTGAATTTGCTCATCTCCCTATAGGAGAAAATAAACAAATAGTGTCGTAAAATTAAGATAATGTGATGACTCATGCTTCCACTTTTTCCATACCTAAAAGAATGTATTTAAAAAATTGACAAAATTTTCCGTCAAATATTTCTGGGACTTGAAAAAATTGGTGAGACCCCCCCCTTAATATACATTCATAGTAAAATATACATTTGGTTTATTGCATTTAGATTTGTGGAATAAAGTCGCCCGGGTCAGGAATACATTGAGCACTCGAAATGTTGGCAGAATGAAAAAGATTTTTTCAATTTCACTTTTGATAAATTTGCTATTGTAGCCACAAAATTTTCCAGAGAGAAAGGGGATTTGGGTATAACAGAAGTGATTGGAATTTATCTTTAAATTGATTCTGCAGTGATAGGGGGAGTAATCTTTGGTGTGCAAAGCATTCTCAGGGTGAAATAATTTTATCACATTTGTTTAATTTCAAAATGAATAAGGATTTAATATGATTGAATTTGCAATGCACTTAGAAAACAATTTTGAGACATTTCTTTAGTTAAAAAATGAAACAAAGATAATATTTTTCCCTTCGCCAGTTCCAGAGATATTATTGAATTTTCATATTTCTTTGTTATGTATTGATTGAAGAATGTTGACCGATTATATTTTTTTAATTTTAAAAAAATTACTTGATGACTGGAATTGGAAAAAATATATTATGACTAAGAATTATCTTTACTATAATAATTCGGGGAGGGTGGGATAAAATTAAACAATGGTGTTTGTTACATAGTTTCACTTTTATCTATTGCGCTGCGGATGATTGTGACCAATCTTCATTTCACCCCGTTGTTCCACTTTGTCCTACCCTTCCCTAGGTACTTACACAAAATATGAAATTATCGAATTAATTGAGGCGAAATATGATGCATTTACCATAACGCTGCCAGTGGTTATGCACCTCCGGCTGCATCTCCGGGACGACTGAATTTGAGTTATAATCTTTCTCGCCATTGTCCCAAGGTAATTTGAGAACATCCGAGGCAATCTCGCTCTTCAAGATGGTGCGGATTTCACTCTTGACATTATCATCGAGATTATCCAGATTGATGAATTCATAATCAAGCTACAATTCCAACAAAAATATTTTTATTATTAAGATAATCTCATATGATTAGGACTTCCCAGAGAAAAAAAGTTCTTAGTGTCTAGTAAAAATCTCTGAATTTTAGAACTCTGTTGTTCGGAAGTCTAGCGGATTAACAAACCCGAAAATAAATGAAATTTCCGTTTATTCTAAGAAAATTTTCATTTTTGCCTCCAAATGGAAGCTTTGCAATCTTTGATTTTGATGATCTTCTAATTTTGCCTGGAAGTTATGTAGAATGTCATGAAATGTGATGATGAAATGATGTGATCATTTTTTGGAATTTTTTTTATAAATCTTCACAAAAAAAGGAGTAAAGTTAAACCTAAAAATTTTTAAGTTCGTCACATTATTATTTAGGAGGATTTCTGGTGGGAATTTCAGCTGAATCTGTCAAGTAGTTTTCAAAATGCCCCGTTTCATGGCCATTTTGAGTCACATTCGCAAAAAAATTCAACAAAAAATACGCCAGGATTAACAAAAATCTAATGGCGTTTGATTTTTTCAAATATTTTAGATAGTTTTGCAATACAATGCGCAGCGTTAGAAGTGAAATCGTCCGCCGGTAGGCCCACCTCTGCACGTTTAACCACTACCAACGTCATAAAATAACATCGTACTTGAAAAAAGTTCCGCAACGGATAACAAAGAGAACACTATTTATTTTTAAAAAATATTTTTATAAATTAACAAGATGGATATTTTAACACGCCCCGAGGGTGCTCCATCTGAAAAGACTATCAGGGAGACCGCTTCTGTAAGTTTGATGATTCTTAAAATAAACAAAAGTCGAATCTGAGAAAATTGAAACCATTCCGCAATCAATAAGGAGTAGAATGACGTTAGATTTTCGTCAATATTTTTATAAATAAATAGGTAAGGATAGTCGAAGCACTCAGAACGCTGTATATTACGTACATGCAAAAGATGTGCTCAGAACAGCCCCCGAATTGTATGTTGGATCCCGGTTTATTCGATTATCGCGGGGAGAATTAATTATTATATATAGCGAAGGCCACTTCTTTATTTCCACGGAATGATGCATTGGGATGAAATTGTACACTAAGAGAAAAATCGACATATCACAAAAATCATTTCTTGAGCGAAAAACATCGCATACACATTTCATCAATTTATGGTAGGTTTCAGACAAGAAATCGGTGCTCTTCTGGCCAAGGAAGAAGTTACTATATGAAAAGGTGATGTCTTTTTTCGAAATGAGATAATATTCCTTAAAAGACAACAATAGTTTGACAGAAGGAAAAGAAGATATTGCTTCCCTTCGAACTCAAAGCGACTGAGCGTAAGCGACGGTTATATTTTTTCAATATTTGGAGGTTTTCCTTGGATAAACTCTCTATTCATTCAATATGAAAGTATCTGATTCATGATTCTCTGAATCAAACCTTTTAATGTTTTTAGTCATTTTTTCATCTTCTGACGAAAAAACCGATTTCTTGTAGCAAAAATCTCACTTTATCATAAAATGTTCATGTTCAAGTCATGAACACTTCACCGAAATCTGGTATTGTCTGACACATTATACGGAATTCTTATCCCAAGGAATATATCCTCAAGAGATGAGTTATTTGGTGCAAGAAATTAGTTTTGTGATATTATGACGATATTTCTCTCAGTGTAATTGCACGAAATATACAAATCTATCCTGTATGTTTTGAAGAATAATTCGTCTTGTATTTCTCACTGTCCATGCCTCACATTGGAGATACGCAGAAATCTGTGCAACCATAAATGAAGACATTTGTTGTTTGTAATTCCTTCCAAAATACGAGAATTTATTTGCTCTTCAATTCGATTTTCATGTAGAAACCTTCCTGTAGCTCTTACATCTCCCTAATATGCAAAAGGTCCTTACGGAAAATTTCGTCTCTCGAAAACTCATTCTCAACTTCCCTCAACATTTTCTACATTTTTTTATACTTGGAGATAAGTAAAATTCATGTAATAAACATTGAAATTATCAATAGAAATAATGAAAATATACATCGGAGCAATAAAAATGAACCTAATTCAACCTGATTATTACTTTTCCGTGAATATCTCAGCATCTAAGGCAGGTATCAAAACTCTCGTTCAGATCTTTTTATAGCTCTCATTCCTCTCTACAAAAACGTCCACATAAAAATCACTCCATCTCCTTCATATTCAAATAATTAAATGGAGTAACGACAATCCAAATCGGAGCACCCGTCAAAGTAAACCCCATCTCAGAAATCAAAATGGCTCTAGAACATGGAAAAATTCTCAATTAGGGAAAGGTGAGGTAAAATGAATCTTCTTAAAACATCGACATCTTGCGCACAAATTTTATGATTTCAATGAATCAACTTGATTTTAGAACCTCAAAAAAACTGCCATCGACGTGAAAAAATTGTCAAAATTCTCTCCACTGATCTCGAAGTATCGCCGGCCAGAGACTTCTAACATTAAGGGGAGACTACTGTGAGTTTTAAGAATCGTGGGCTATTGGAATGAGATTTCTCATACATTCAAGGTTGATTATGTATGTCTAAAAACCAATAATTAGTTTCAAAAAACCAATTGTTTATTGTTCGTTTACCCCACAAACGCTTAAAATGTTCAAAATAGTCGAGCGCCTCCAATTTTTGTGCTACAGAGGTTTTGTTTTCAAAATTTTTGTAAAAATATATGCAATAACAACTATAAATTATTTTTTTGAAATTCAACTCCTACACAGCTAATTTCGTTATTATTTCAATAAAAAATTGCACCATTCATGTCAAATCGCCCGAAAAATATTTCTGAATAAATCGAGAATATATTTTAAATATTTTTATTATAATTTTTCTGCCCATTTTACATGAATGACGCAAATTTCTACACAAAACGAAATTAGCTGTGTAAGAGTCGAATTTCAAAAAACTAATTCGTAATTGTTATTGTACATATTTATTCAGAAATTAAAAAAAACACTGTAGCTCAAAAATTGGAGGCCCTGGACTATTTGTAACATTTTAAGGGTCTGCGGAGTAAACGAACAATAAACAATTAATTTTTTTAAAGTAATTATTCGTTTTTAGATATATATAATCGATCTTCAATGTATGAGAGATCTCACTTCAATATCCCACGCCTTTTAAAACTCACAGCAGTCTCCCTTAAATCTCCTTCAAACCTGACCTGGAAGAAATCTTAGATTATGAATATCTTCCGTCAAATCAAATCAAGGGATACGATTTCAATAAATCAAATTTAATTTAGAAGTTCAAAAAGTCACCTTCACCGATCTCGCGGTACCTCAAGTCTTTCAAACCTAAGCTAAAAGAAATTTCCATGAAGCGCCGTTATCTCCCGACCGAATGGTGCGATTTAAATGAATCAAAGCTCATCATGAACCCCCAGAAAGCCCCTTGAAACTAAAAAATAAATCGTTCAATTTTCCTCTGCCAATCTCTACTCATTCCCGATAAAAACCTTCTGCTCCAACCCCTCTCCAACAACCCCATTTGCGTCCACATACAATCCGATCGCCAATGAAGCCGAGATAACCTCAAAACCCTCGTTCCACGATCTCCCAAGATCCCCCTCTCCTCCTCTCAACCCATCCTCGCAAAAAAAAATTCCCGAAAACCCTCAGTCGAAAATTCTCAACTCCCCAAGTATCAAAAACTCAAACAGAATATTTTAAACAACCCAAATAAGGAACGATCACATGTATTCAAACTGCAACATTTTTGCTCCAAAATTCAGACGATAGATAGAATAACTATAAAAAAATGAATAAAAAGTAGTACTCACTGTGCTTTTGATGTCCATGTTAATGCCGATTCCCGCATAGGTGACATTAAAATATGTTCAGTGATTAAACCACGAGAATAGGGTTATCATAGTAGATTCGTAACGTCCACTGCACTCAGATACCGGTTTACCAGCAAAGTTTCAGCAAGTTGACTCTTGAAATTTTCGGTACTTCACAATTTATTGCTTAAACTCTTAAACTTTCATTATTACTGATGGAAAAATGTTGCTCCAGGTGGTATTATTAATTCTATAATTTCATCGTTAGGAATTAATAGCTCACAATCACTAGACCACGAGAGGAAAACCACACCGCCACACGGTACTTTTCGGGTACCCCCTTGGTTAATTCTGGGATAACGTTAGGTGCGTAATACGGGGATAGCGCACGGAATTGGACTCGAGTATAGCACAGCTTGTCCCAACGGCATCCGAAAGATGGCATTATTTTGGCGGCAATTTGAATTAGCCAGAAGGCAAACTAATATAGACATGCAAATTGACGGTCATTTTTCGCAGTGTCATGTAACCAAAAAATGACTGTCATATGACGCACAAATTTTCCGACTACAAATGATGACCAGAAATAACTAGCAAGCAAATTGTTGTCAACTAATTTCTAATTTGTGACGGTCACAAATAAAAACAATAGTTTTATCTACATAGATGAAAAATCACTATCATTTCTCTTGGAAAATTGTGACAACATTGGAACATTGCGAATATATCCTTTTGAGATGTTTAGAAGTTGTCAATCGCGGGATGGATTCCTGACAGAACTAACCGTGACCAGCTACAAGTAGAGATCGTAATAGTATATTTCGTCATCAGGCCGCAAACAACTTTTCCGGCGAATATGAGGTTTGCAGCACGAGCCGAAGGCGAGGGCTGCAATCATATTTGTCAGAAAAGTTTTTTTTGGCCGTATGACGAACAATATTTTTTGTCATGACGGCCGTAGGCAGAGATTCACGGACGCGGAGCAAAGCGGAGCGTCCGTGAAACGCCGCCTTACGACCGGAATGACAAAAAAAACTATGATCGTATTGCGTGGAGTAAAGCCCTAAAGTGCACTATGGTAAATTAAGTAGGAACCAGGGAATGACCATGTAAAGAGAGAGAAACCCTTTTTTCCCTTGGAAGAAATATATTTATCAGAGTGGATAAATCTTTAATTACAACGAGCCCAAGATAAAACCGCGACCGGAAGATTTGGAAGATAAATAAAAGAAATGAAAAGGAAAAAAAATTAATGGGTAGTAAATTGGCATTACTTACAGTTGTTGATTGAAAGAAATTAGGGGGGGTGTGATCACCCAGTCGCGATGACACTGGACTCTGGAACCTCCTTTCTGGAGAAATCAAACTTCGTCCTTCGTCCTAACTATAGAGATGACGATTCTCGTTGATGATCTGCCCCTTGAAGAACCATCGAGGACACTGACTCTAGTGAGTTTTTAATGCTGCGAACGCGTCTCAAAATTTGTATAAAGTGTCAACTTCCATGATACGAATAATTCTGAAATTGATAAAAAGTGTCTATCTCTGTGACAAGAATGAATCCAAAATTATTCTTGACTGACGTTCAAAATTATACAATCCTGACGTCATTAGTGCGTTGGTAAAATTTCGAAACTGGACCAACTCGCAAACTAACGGACAGAATGCGTATATAATTTCAAGATAGTCATTGTCTGTGACGTGTCAAGTCCTCAATCAAGGGCAGGGTTGGGCATATCTCGCAGATGGAAGTTTATGACGTGACATTGTCAAATACCGGTAATTTACCTCTGGGGCGTCAAAAATGTCAAAAAGTGTCAGAAAACTCTTTACAAGGAAGCTAAGCTAAAAAGTCACAAGGGTCAAAAGTGAGAGACATATCGGCCGGAAATCGTTAAGATCAAACGATCACGAGGGTTATCCTCGCGAAGGTTAAACATCGCAAGGGTTATGCCTTTTTAGGGTCAAACGTCGCAAGGGTCAAACAACGGAAGCAATCCTTCAATCTGGAGGGTGAAACTAATAAGAGGGTCAACGGGGGACGCCAGGCGGTACAATTACAAGGCTCCAACGGTCATGAAGTTTAAACAAAAAAAGCAAGTAGGTTCACAAGGGTCAAACAAGTCACTAGGTCACGGCCTAGTTATCCTGATTGACCCTTATGATTTACCTACTTTGTGATTGTTTCTTAATCCTTTGTGATTTTCCTGCTTGTCTGCGTCATAATTTTAACTCTTGTGATTTTTCACTTACCTCTCCTGTAGGCAGAACAATAATAAGGGTGGAATGATCATGAATTAAGAAAAAATAATCTGAAACTATTCCGTTTGGTCTTTGTTGTTGCTTATGATCATTTGACGCTCGCAAGTTATGATTGTGACGTTTGACCCTCGCAAGTTATGATTGTCACGTTTGACCCTTGCGAGGTATGACCTTTGCGAGGATTGACCCTCGCGAGGCATAACCTCAGTGAGTATGATTTTTTCGAATTTTGACCCTTGTAACTCTGACAGGCGGTATTCTGTGAGAATACCTCTCGGTAAAAATCTCCCGGTTCTCCAAGGTGCTAATAGATGGCGCCACATAGGTTTTTGACAGGTCAAAAAGCCGACAACTCGCCCGGGTAATTTACCTACTTTATGACCGGTCAAAAACCATGTAATTTACCTAAGGTAATTTACTTGCCCAACCCTGATCAAGGGTATCTACCCGAGTTTGAGATCGTGAATGACTGCGCCTTGGATCGAGCGTATCTACCCGAGTCTGAGATTATGAATGATTAATTTTTGTTTCCATCCCTTATATATCTTTCGTGGGATGCGACGCGTGATATCCACTGATCTCTATATAACTGGATAGCCGATCCCTATGGCAGCCAGTGCGTTTATTAGAGAGGTACGCAGCGCCTCCGGATAGTAGTCAGCGAACTAAGATTCTCTCTAGTGTGCATGTCCGTGTCAGCTGCAGGTAGTGGGGCAGTGGTAAATTTACCGAGAGTATTGAGAAATATTATAGGATATTTTACCGTGTAGGACATCCAGAATAACAGACGAACTTTTGTTAATAATCAGTGAAAACTGACATTGTCTATAAACGCGAAAGGAAGCCGAAGCATGGAGGAATGTCGAAATTAGTACAATTGTTATTAATATTGTATTATTAATGAATTGTATAATCGTTAATAATTGAAAAAATTGAATTTTTAAAAACTACAAGGAATCGTCAAAGAATGTTATTAGATTTTTTTAATCGTCATTTTTTGCTAGATTTAATTGACGTTTTAGTTTTTTCAAAAAATCAATTTTGAAAAATCAGGATTTAACCCACTGTCTTATGTCAAAGTCCATAACTTTGTTGTAGAGCAAGATTGAAATCGGAATTTTTGACTCAAAATATGAAAAAAAATCAAGAAATTTTTTGACACATGATACAACATGAATGACCGTTTTTTAAACAATATCCATTATTTATTTATAAAACGGAGATGTTTGAAAAGAAAATAATATGTTGAAAAATGTAATTTGAATGATGCTGATTGTGTATGAATTTTTTATAAATTTTCTCACGTAATTTAATGGAAAAATTTAATAATTGAAAATCTCGACATCTATAGTGTGGTCAGTATGAACTTGTAGCCTACTGATGAGCTACTTTAAGGAAATTAATGTATTCAGGAAATTGGGAAACTCAAAATAAATATTCAACTGAATTTATTCGTTCGAAATTTGTTTGTATTTATTAAACTATAATACACCTGATAGTTAGCTATAGTACACCTGATAGTGATTGATCGGAATTTATTGATTGAGTATACTATACTAATTTTACCTTTTTCAATTATTATTTACAATTTGGGACGGAGAATGTTTCCACGGCAATTTTCCGAGCACGTGGCCCCCACTGCGGCGCGCATGCGCACTGACGTCATCTTTAGTACCTGAGCTACTATACGGCAGCGCTGGCTGACACTTCAATTCGCCTCACTTTGAGAGTGGTAGGAGCATAGGGATCAGCTATCCAGTTATATAGAGATCAGTGGTGATATCTCTCAAAAAGGAGGAGCGGAGGGGGGGGGGGTGGTACCCCCGTACCGGCACGATTCCTGGATTGAGGACTCCTGAATTTGGACATCCACGTAGATAGATGTTTTCGAATCGCCCCCAAATCATGAAGACCTCTCTCTCAATCCTGCGCATACCATACGACGGCGGAGGGGGAAGAGCGCAGCATTGGCGGTTTTAGGAATTGGCATTGGTGTTATGTCCTATCAATGTTACTAGGAGGACAGTGGCGCCTTTTTGAAATAACGAGCGCCAAACTTCGAAATGTGGATCCGTTAGCCGCTAAACCTCTGATGAGGACTCCATCGATGTTGACTCGTTCATTTTTTGAATAAATGGGTTGAAGGTTTATTCCAGAATAAATCAAAAACACTAGTGCTTAGGAGAGCACATTAACACTATTTATTTCAAACTTCTAATTTAAACTTGAAAACTTTGGTAGATAAATACACTTGATAAAACTTATATGGAAAACTTTAAGAAAAACTAATCGAAGAGAGAAGCTGGAAAAGTTGTCGGAACAACAGCCACGATGGGACTGTCTCTATTTTAAACTAAAAATCTAAGGGTTGGGTCCATACACCCCCACTAGACCAAAAGTTGCGCGCGCAATCTTGGCCCGGGGTAAAGGGAAGAGGGGTAACTTGAGGAACTTCCGCAGTAAGTATACTTGGTGAAAATTTCGAAATGGTATAAAGACGCAATATTTGGATCATATGTTGTTGAGTACATTCAAAAACTATTCCCAAAATTTCAAGTACCTTGTCCACCCCATTTTCGAGATATACATGGTCAAAAATGGAAAAAACACAAAAATTGAATGTTTGGCGATGCATATCTCAAAAATGGGGTGGACCAGGGACTTGAAATTGTTGGAATATTTTGTTAATGTGGTCAACAACATATGATCCAAATATTGCGTCTTTATACCATTTCGAAATTTTCACCAAGTATACTTACTGCGGAAGTACCTTAAAAGAGAAATCGGGAAGCGAAAGAGGGAGAAAGGGGAGCGTGTGACGTCAACAGTTTTCCCTCTTGAGGGGTCTCAGGCCCTTCAGCTCCGCGATACAATGAACAAAGGAGAACTCAACACTCAACACGTGTGGAACACGTGAATCAGAGAGACTTTCTAAATATCTCAGAACCGAGATTTAACAATTTTACGACCGTAACCGTCGAGTTTATTTTCTCTCTATATTTCAGAATTTCAAGAAAAGTATTGTTGTGAGGAATTTTGGAGAGCTGTAAATTTACGAAGTAAATTCAAGTACTTGACATTTATTATTCCCGGC